TCACAACATCCATTCACTTTTCATTCGTTTGAGTCGAATTCAATTCATCGTGATAATCTACAATTATATGTTCAAGGTTTTCGACGAGGTGAACAAGTGTATGGCACAGTAATGACTATACAAATAACTGAACCCACATCGTTTGAATTAGAATGGGAGAACATTGATAAAGTCGTGTGGACGACATTTGGTGGCACAAAACATGAAGGATATCACCGAGACGTGAAAAACTTTACAATAACTTGTATAAAAATTACAAACTAACAAGAGTTTGAACAGTCCTTTGCTGCTTTTCTACAACCAGCACAAAAGATTATGTTTTTCTTTAATCTTTTATCATAAAAAAGATATGATATAAAAAAACTGATTTTTCAGTTCTTTCAAAACACAGATACGATCACTAGGACAAAGTGTATTCACGATGTGAATAAGTTGTGGGTATGAAAAGAATGAAATACCCACACCCACCCCTTACAGAACGAAAGTATGGGTGTGGGTGTGGGTATTCTCTTTAGATCAACAAGGAACATATACACCCACTTTATTCATTAAGTTCGATCTTGACGTGACACTATTTATGCTTATATTAATATCCAATTCTAAGAGTCTGAGTACAAAAAAATGTCCTATATATTCAAAAATACAAAATTCTTCTTTGGTTAAACATTTTGTTTGTCTAATGTCGTTGTGAGTTGATTTTGATGTGATGAAATAACATGATTCAATTTTCGGGTGTGTGTATTCAATACACTAAATATTCACACCCCACACCAACACCCTCAAGAAAAATACATATACTTATAAACACATAAATACTTTTTTTTTTATTTTTTAAAAATAAAAAAGTCGGGTGAAGGAGGCATCGACCAACCGAAGCGTCACAACAAATAAATTACTGCTTAAAGGAAGAGTATATTTAAAAAAAACTCAATTCATGTCCTTCCTCAACAAATTGTATCTGATTATTTTTGTGCTAATATTTGTTCTACCATATTCGATCGTTCTTTGATTATATCAGCAACTTTGTCATCATTTAGTAGTGTAGCATCCAGAACATAGTCACCTCTTTTAAGATCTAATTTCTCCATATCATAATCGCCAACCTTGACCAAAAGCAATTGTAGAGGATCATTATTCATTTCTGCCGGAGTAAATTTGTCAAATATTTCTCGCCATTCCATCATGCAGTGATATGATTCTATATATGAAGATGATAAAAAGACAACAACCAAATGTGCTTGTTTATAAATGGTACTGAAATATTTTCGGCCGTCGAATCGACAAATTTCATGTTGAAAATCTCGATCGATAAAAACAGGATGAGGGCATTCAAGTGTTTTTACATTTTCCTTTATCATGTCAGTAATTTTATAAACACGTTCTCGATGAGCTGATGAATACGAAATTGCTATTTTCATGGGCGCTTCTGTTACGCACACAGGTGTTCGTTTAATTGATAGAACTGTTACCGGTGATTGTGATGATGGTGGTGGTGAATACGTTGTTACTTTAATATGTGACAGATATATCAGTCAAATATAAAATATTGAAATATTACCTGTTGTCGTTGAAATAGGATCGTTAGTTTGACAAGCGACAGTAGTGTTTACACTAAATGATACTGCACCAGTTTCGTCTGTTACGTAAAATAAAAACAAAACCCTGGTGTTCACAAGTAAGTATTTGTAAAATTTCTCTACCTTCCACAAGAGATTTCTGAAGTTTTTCCATGGCTTTCTTAGATATTCGACTATCAAAATTCGATGAAGTATCCTGAACAGCATTTTGTCCATCAACGTGTCCATTATTCATTTCTTCTTGATTGTTCGAAATTAGTTCACATCCAGATTCTAAATATATATATAGAATTTATTTCTAAGAAATTGGTAAATATTCAACTGACCTTTCACCGTGGTTGCGGTCGAATTATCATCATTATTGTTCATACTTGGCAATATTGTGTGTGTTTGTGATGATGAAGAAGTAGTTATTACATTGTCTGTTGTTTCAAAATTAGAACCTATTAATATCTCAATAAGAACGATTATAACTGCACCGAACAATACAGTCAAATTTGATAGGACCCAGATAAAAATAAGTAAAGTAAGAATAATAAGTATCGAAAGATTTTTATTATTCCGGTTCGTAGTATTGTCAGCCATATAATGTAAAAAATATTTTGATAATATTCTAATAAGATTGTTAGTATAAGTGCCTTTTAGTCACACCGTCAATATATGTCATATGAACAGAACAGAAAAAAATTGACTCGTTAATCATCATAACCAACAAAAAGAGTAGGAGAGAAATAAAATATGTAGATGTCATACGACAACAAAAGGTATTTATTTGCGAAAAAAATGAACACAATTAAACAACAGGATGGTTTTCAACCATTTGTATAATTATATTTTCAAATGGTTTATCACCGAAATCCCTGTCTCCAAACAAACTCCTCCAAATACGTAGGTAATAAACTTCTAGCTAATCCGCATTGTTTTTTCTGATTTCTTTTTATACATATCCATGTATTTTCGATTAATTGTGTATATACATGAGTTGTTGGATCAATAAAATGGGCAGAGTAATTTACTGTACGATGTGAATAAAAATTTGTGTGATTTCTTAATGCTGTATACGCCTTCCATTCGTCTGAATGAGTGATAATATCTATATAAAAAGCTTATTCAAAAACGATGTTGTCAAATATTTGAAGTTATCCGGTAGAATAAATTCTTCGATTATCGGTAATAATGTTGCAGTATCTCGTCTTTCCACTGTAGTAAAGACGCATTTTCTTGTAGTCACATAAATAACTTCGAACACCCACTGTTGAGCATCATGTAATCTCTCACGGTTATATTTTCTCTTCCCGAAATAGCTCTCGTCGATCTCTACCATGCTTCCAGGCCCTAAAAGAGTCATTTATTTTAGATTTAATTATAATCAAAATTTACCTCCAATTCTTTAAGGATTTTTAATGTAATAATCAACACAAATATCTCTTGAAAAATTACGCCAATCAATAATTGTATATGAAGATTTAATATTTAATCCTCTTTTTATATTTTCTAATGAATCTTACTGATAAGCCCAATAATATATAATTTCAAAGATTGTTGCTAGTGATAAATGTGAATTAGAAAAAAAAAGAATCTTGACGATTTGATTTGGTTGCTCTGCATGTTTTACGGCGAAAGACATATCCTACAAGATGGGTGTGGATGTAAATTCCAGGTGAATACAGTATCTACACCCACACCGGTAAGGGAGAAAAATCAGTGTTAAATGAAGAGAAAGAAAACGATTTTTACTAAAGTGGTAGTTTGTCTATTTAACTCTTTGAATTAATTGAAAAGGTATTGGTGTTGGATTTGTAGGAGATAAATGATAAACTTCTTCATTTAATGTATCTTCTTCATATGTGTTTGTTTTTGTCTTCCTATGAAAAACTATTTTTTATCAATATTCTTTGATTGAAATAAATTTACATTCTCAAGTTTTTCGTTTCGTTGAACAGCTGTTTCTGCAGTATCATTCTGTAATTTACTAAGATCGTTCGTGAGCTTGTGACAATAATCTCTGTCAGAGGCGATTCTAAAAAATTTCTTTTCATGTTTAAATTAGAAATGATTTGTTTTACTTCATGAAAAACAACTGAATACATCGATTGGTATTGCTTATTGCTTATTGCTTTTAATGTAAATTGAGGGATATGTTGAATTATTAGCGCTTGACGAATATGCAACTCCATGAGGGCATAATTCTAAAAAAAAGGGTGGATGTGGGTGTGTGTATAAGAATGATATAATATTCAAACTTACAACCACACACCCACACCCTCAAGATAATTGCACGAGAAGAGATAGTCAATATGTTCGGTCAATGCCGAGACGTAATTGTTTATTGAATAAAGGTTAAAACATACAACAACAAAATAAAAGCAGCACACGGTACGGGATTGACACAATCGAATATGTACTATAATCGATTTGTATATTTATAACTACTTAGTTCAGCTTATGGTTCAGACTGTATTCCGTGTTCGAGTCCCACTTCTAATTCAGAATGAACGCTTTCTTTTTACCATTCTGTGTCGACCTTCGTACAAGAAAAAGATGTTGTGTTTAGACTAACATATCTAGCAAGGTTTTGTCTCACCATCTTTGTTCTTGGGTTCAAAGACGCAGACGAAAAGACAGAAAAATAACACGAGCAAGATAACAAACGAGCGAAGGATAAATGTACGAAAAGATAACTGTTTGAAAGGATATCCTTTATGTCTCTTGGCACAATTATTTTATGCTAATTTTTCTTCGACAAGAACCGATCGTTTTGTAATGATTTCAGCAACTTCGGCATCATTAAATCGTGTAGCATCCAGAGGATAGTCACTTCTTTTAAGATTTAATTTCTCCATATCATAATCGTCAACCTTGACCAAAAGCAATTGTAGAGGATCATTATTCATTCCTGCCGGAGTAAATTTGTCAAATATTTCTCGCCATTCCATCATGCAGTGATATGATTCTGTATATGAAGATGATAAAAAGACAACAACCAAATGTGCTTGATTATAAATTTTATTAAAATGTTCTCGACCGTTAAGTCGACATATTTCATATTGAAAATCTCGATCGATAAAAACAGGATCAGGACATTCATATGTCTTAACATTTCTCTTTACCATATCAGTAATTTTGGAAACACGTTTTCGATTAACTGATGAATACGAAATTGCTATTTTCATGGGCGCTTCTGTTACGCACACAGGTGTTCGTTTAATTGATAGAACTGTTACCGGTGATTGTGATGATGGTGGTGGTGAACATGTTGTACCTTTAATATGTGACAGATATATAAATCAAATATCAAATATTGAAATATTACTTGTTGTTGTTGGAATAGGTTCTTCAGTTCGACAAGAGACAGAAATTTTTCCACCAAGAATTGTTTCATTGATTTTGTCTGTTATGTAAAATGAAAACAAAACCCTGGTGTTCACAACTAAGTATTTGTAAAATTTTTCTACCTTTCGCGGTAGATCTCCGAAGATCTCCCTTGGCGTCGTCAGATACTGGATGATCAAAATTCAATAAGGTATCCTGATCAACACTTTGTTCAGCAACGTGTTCATCATCCGTTTCCTCTTGATTATTCGAAATTGGTTTACTTCCGGATTCTAAAAATATATAGAATTTACTTCTTAGAAAATTGGTAAAAATTCAATTGACCTTTCACTGCAATTGCGGTCGAATTATTATTATTCGTTAACACATCAGGATTAACATCATCATTGTTCATACTTGGGAATATTGTGTGTGTTTGTAATGATGAAGAAGTAGTCATTACAATGTCTGTTGTTTCAAAATTAGAATTGATTAATGTCGTAGTAAGAACGAATATAACTGCACTGAAAAGTACAGTCAAATTCGATAGGAGCCAAATAATAATAAGTAGAGTAAGAATAATAAATATCAGATTATTATTATTCCGGTTCGTAGTATTGTCAGCCATATAGTGTAAAAAAAGATTTTAATAATATTCTAAAAAGAATGTTTTATATGTACTAGATATATTGCTATGAAATTTTCATGTATATTTCTCTATCAAATATTCTTTTATTGAAAGAAAGACAGAAAGATTCAGACAAAAACAAGTGAAGTTTTATTTACGCTTTTTATCATGAGACAAAATTCTTTCGTCGTTCTTTTATTATGAAATAAAACTGCACACAACATTTCTTTATATTGTCTATTTATAAGAGTACTCTTACCTAGTGCGAAAATTATCAAATTATACCTCATTATGTAAGATTATAATCGAAGTTTTGTGCGACAAAATCAAAATTATAATCGATTGAAATCTTTCAAATCAACAATAATTCGATTTGTAATCAAAAACTAATCTTCTAAATCAAATATAAATTTGATTAAAATCATGTAGTTCTGATCAAAAATAAAATAAATCAAGTTTGTATGGTTTTAATCAAATTTATATTTGATTTAGAGGATTACTTTTTGATTACAAATCGAATTATTGTTGATTTGAAAGATTTCAATCGATTATAATCCTGATTTTGTCGCACAAAAATTCGATTATAATCTTACGTAATGAGGTATAATTTGACAATTTTTCACTGGGTAAGACAAGCATCTTTAGGATGGGTGTGAACGTGAGTATGTAATGTTATAATAGCTGACGCTGACACTTACACCCACACTCACCCTCAAGATGACTGTTTAGGGCTAGAACTCTTGTTGCTAAACGACAAAATTCGCTGAGTCTCATAAATTTGCACGTGCAAATATTGAATTTCTAATCAAATCCATGCATTTTTACGTTGTCTCTAAAAAAACAATCGCCACTGCACCGCAATGGACATATCTGTTTCTGACATGGTATAGAGTGAAGATAGTTTATTTTTGAGACTATTTTCTGTTTGGAAGAAGATGAATTTACACTAAAAATGCGCTGGTGATAAATAATATTTGACAAAGTTTTTTCACTCTTGCCATTAATAATTCTAAATAAACTAACAGAAAAATTTCTCTTATTAAATAGATCATTACTAGATCGAAAGATTGAAATTATTGATATATTTTTACAATATAATACTCTTGACAATAACGCAATAGTAATATTGAACGTTCTGTGTGCCTCGACTTTTCTGAATATTTCAACTATATATTTACGATCTGTATATAACTAATAAAGCTATTTATTTGACTTTTTGCGAATGATTCGAATGTAGAACTTACCAAAATAAAACTGCTTAAATGAGACGATTTAAAAAAATCCAAATGGCTTGTAAATTTCTGATGCTAGTATGTATATGTGATTATATGTTCGCTTCGCCAAATAATTCGTTTTATAAAGTAAATATATTCGTAACTTTTTTCTGTGCTTGTTTCAACTACGCAGGCATTTCGTTGCGAAAGAATATGCACACATTCAAAAGAAGCCATTCAAATATTGTAATCAATTCAAGTCAACAGAATGATTGAGATATTAATGAGATTTTGAAGAAGAAAAAATAATAACAGAAATATATTTTTTTAACTTTTTACATAAAGAAAAAATTGAACAAATACAGCCCTCGCAAAAAATTCTGAGACAAACAAAAATAATCTCCTAAAATCTTATATTTCATCTGAATTAAACTTTATATATATGATGAGTATATTTACTGAGTAAGCTTTCATATGATACCATATTGACACATTACTTTTTGTTTTAATATGAAAAAATAAGAACAACAAAGAACGTCCGGCAGCAAAAAGTTCTGGGACAATATTCGTTCTCTTCATTTTGTCAAGTTGAGTTTGAATGAAATCGATACCATTAGAAAGCGCATAAAAAACTGAGAAGAAGTAGTATATTTTCTTTGTCAAGAACGTC